CTTTCCCTCAACTACCTAGACCCTCAAGTCCCTGAGAGTACATTAACATTGTCATGCAGAGATTACAGGAACTCAGATCCCCACAGTGCAACCCTTTTCTCAGCCCCAATACGTGAAGCAATCTTTGTTCCATCACCAGTCACCATCCCCAGGACCTTCTATGTCTTTACCCCAGTATCTCCTCAGGTCCCAAAGTCTGAACTCCAAACCCCAAGGTCCCTCTCCTTTTTCTTTCCCTGTTCCAAGAGGTCCTCATCCTAGGTTAAGCCCAGGTGGAGCCAGGAGTCCCGGGCCCCTGAGGCCCCTGGGCCACACAGCTCAACAGGCTGGGCCACATTCCAGGTAGATTAACCCCTCCAATGCCAAGGGTGAGAAGCTAGTAGAACACCCTTTCTCCCCCCCCCACACACCCCATTTTCTCCAGACTCTGCTTATTAGCCTTGGAAGGCTCTCTGCTCTTGTTCTCCTTTGCATCTACCTCACTGCAGATGAGAAACAGACCAGGAGGGCAGGCAGGAAGACTTTAGCAAGGGGTCCCAGAGGGATGCTCAGACTCCTGACCCTTACCGAGGAAGGAGGCTACTAGTGAGCAAAGGACAATCTAATCCTGGCCTTCCTCCCATACTGCCCATAATGTGGCAGAGAAAAGACCTGGAAGTCTAGAGGAAGAAAAATAGATTTTTTTTTTTTGGAGTCATGTTCTCTCTGCCTTGGCTGGGAAAGGAAGGGAGGGTCTTCAATCCAGGGTAGAAAAGAGCAAGGAATGGAAGACAGTGAAGAATAAAAGGCAATCCTAAATGAAGGTCCCAGATGCTTTGTTTCTTTGGAGAACTTGTGGAAGGCAGAGAACATGTTTCTTCTCCCAAGATGCCACCTTGGACAGTGAGGTCCAAGGGAACGGGCAACTGACTGAGGAGGGGAAAGGGGCTCTTACAAAGCCGCTTCTCTTATAGCTGAGGTGGAGTTGAGGGGAGGGCATGGATGAAGGGGGCTACCGGATGAAGGGGGGCGTCTCCCTGCTGCCCTACCCGCTCCAGAGCCTGAAACAAAGCTGCTCTTGTAGGCTGCTCTCCGCCCATTGCCCCCCTCCCTTCTGTATAAACACGACCACCTTTTTCCATGACCCCATCCCCAGCCTGGGCAGAGAACCCAGGCATCCTTTGCTCAAGCCCAGGCCCTCAGCCTGCTCCCCAGGAGGTAACAGTAGGCCTGGTTTCCCTGGCCCTCTGCCACCCTTGGGGGAGTCCAGACCCTTGAGTCTCCACCTCGCATCCCCAGGTGCCCTCCCTCCACCCCACTGGCCCCAGGGAGGGGCAGTGCCCAGGAGGCAGGCAGGCAATGCCAGTGGAATGTGTGTGGGCATCAGAGGGCATAAGCAGGGTGGGGCAGAGGGGGGAACTGGAGGTGCCTGTTAGGTGGCTTTCTGAGCCAGGGTTGGGGGCGTGCCCTGTGTTGCCTACCAGGCTCTAAGCCACTCTGTGTGTGTGTGTGTGTGTGTGTGTGTGTGTGTGTGTGTGTGTGTTTGGGATACCTAACCTTTAGGTACCCTGAATATATTCCCCTCAACCCCGCCCAATTTTTACTTTCCCCAAGGATATGAGACACTGGCTGTGGTCCTTAACCCCAACTCAGAGTTTGAGGAATGACTAAAAGAATTAAGAGGCATAGAGGATAGGAGCCCTAAATGTGTTACAATCATCTTGGTATATTGCTCTTTTGATACCCCGGCTAAGGCATCCCTGCCCACCTAGACTATAACCACTACCAAGCCTTACCCTCTGGCCACCTGCGGAGATTGCCTCCTACATACTGGGTCCAGTTAGGCAGAGGGGACTGGGCTGTAGCTGCTGGAGACAGAGAGACACTATTAGTGGGATGGCAGCACTAGGACTCTAGAGTCCTGTCTCAATCTTCATACTCTTCCTTTGCTCCTTTGGGGTTTCTCTTTAGAATATTCCAGAGGAACACACACACACCCCCATACACACACACACACACACACACACACACACCTCGCTGAAGAGAGCCAAGATTCATACCCATAGTTGGGACCACAGTCAGAGGGAATCCTGAACTGGAAGTTCAAGGTTAATTTCATAGACCCCTCTCCTAGCCACCATTCTTCCCAACTTCTGATGGACAGCCAGGTTCACTTGCTAAATCCTTTCTTTGCCTTTGGCCAGGCTGTGCCATTCCACTGTCCAAAGAGAAAGGTAGACCAGCTTGGACCCTTAGATCTGCACTTCAGAGCTCCCAGGGGGAAGAGAGGGGTTGTCTCGCCCTCAGGAGGGGACCCCTGTCTTCCCTCACATTCCAGACTCAGAAAGAAAAGCATAGTTGTGTTCCTTCCTCCCCCGCCCCCCCATACTTAAGACTACACTTAAAGACTCCTTCCCAAATGCTCTCCTCTACTACTTACCCAAAATCAAGGGCAAAGAGCCCGGCCCATCCCTAGCCTGTCTAAAATCTTCCCATTCCTTTCCCACATCGGGGCTGACCCCAAGGTCCAAGCAGGAAGCCCCCCCCCACGCTGGCAAGCCCAGTGGACAGCCTGGCCAGTCTCCCCCCTCCCCGGGGGGGGTGGGAAGGGAAGGACAGGACGGGCTCCCACCTAGGCGGGCGGAGGTCCCAGGCGTCCGTGGGTCCGTCCGATCGCCCGGCTTCCCCGCCTGACTCACCTGGAGGAGGGCGGGGGAAGGGAGGCCTCGGAGCCCCGAGGTCCCGGCGTCGGGCGGGCGGGCGGTCTCCGGGATGGAGCGTCGCAGTGTCAGGGACTCTCGGTAAGTGGGGGGCTCCGGGGAAGCTGGAGGGGGGGGGACGACTCTAGGCTGGGACTGTCCCGGGGCCTCTCGGAGCCCGCCCGCCCACGTGACCGCCCCAAAATATCCGACACATTTTCTCCCAAACCGCACACTGACTCTGCAGGCGGGGACACGGAAAATATTTTCTTTTTCTCCCTCCCTTACCCACCCCCCCCACCTCTTCCCTCCCTCCCTGCCCGGCTCCCTCCTCCCTCTCCCGCCCTCGCTCCTCCCTCCCCTGCCTCCTGCCCCTGCCCGGCTCCCTCCACGGTGCCCTGGGGCTGAAGGGAGGGGGGGGAGGGCGGAGGATGGGTGAGGATTGGGGGGGTGCTGGGCGGGGCTGGCCTGGGACGCCTGGGTCTCTGCCCCTCCCATTTCCGTGGCTCTGTTCCCCCACCCCACCCCGGGATGGCTGGGCAAGGCTGGCAGAGGAGGTCAGTGTCCTGAGGCCCCGTGATGCCAACCCTTCCTCTCTGACGCGTTCTACCCCCCCTCCGCCCCTCTCTGCCATTTCTAGGGACTCTTGATTGACTTGTCTCTGGGTCAGATCGTGCTCTGCCCAGCCAGTCTCTGGGAGCTCCCTCACCCCTCCCCATGGGGCAGTGTCCACGTCCTTCCAAGGGTGGAGTGATGGGGTAGGAGTGTGCCAGAGCAGGAGCCATTTGTCCTTTCCCCTTTGGTCGCCTCCACCTGCAGGTCAAAGCAGTCTCTCCTTTCCCCTAGCCTCCCCAGTCCTTTGGCCCCAACATCAAACTGGTTTAACTAGTGGGGGTTGAGGGGGTGCTGAGGGCTGGGTTCTCCGGACCTCCTTCTTCCTCTCACCCTCCCAGCCTGCATGCAGTTAAGTTCCAGGAGTCAGGGCGCCTTGGTGGGGTCTGCCAATACTGTCCCCACCTTTAGGCTTGGATTTGGAGGGGGAGCGGCCAGGAGGAGGGCTGGAGGAACTGAAGCTGGGAGTGGGCGGGGCCTTGGGCTGGGTGTGAGGGAGAAAGCCCAGGCCAGGGTGTGCGTCTCTGCCTGAGCCAGCGGCCTGCCTGGCTGTCTGGTAGATGCGCAACGAATGTTGTTGACACTGGATTACTGGGACCCCCAGATCAGTGTGTGCATCCGATCAGGATAGTCATTTTCTGACTTCGACTTACCAACACAGACTCTCAGCCCTACAATGGGGACCTCGAAGTCTCCCTCTACTATGCTAAGCACAGAGGAATAGCGAAGGCCAAGTGAAAGGTCTAAGGTCTGTGCCCACCCTTCTGTTTGCAACTGGTGTCAAGATCGAGGAGGAGGAGAAAGAGAACGTTGCAGGGGGTTGGACTAAGTTCTGACTCAAAAGACCTTCCCCAGAAACCCTCTTTGGGTTGCTGGCACCTGGGAACTAGGCTCCTGAGTCACACATCACATTTTCCATACTGGAGTCACTCTGCTCTGGCCTTGCTGCTACCCTGGGGGCCAGGTGTCTGCCCTTTTGGGAAAAGTCTCTTTTGGTAGCCAGTCAGGTGAAAGAAGAAAGAAGTGGCATGCTGTGGCTCTCTACCAAGACCAGAGATGTCAGCGAGGGTGCAGACAAGCCCTCCAGAACTGAGAAGAGCTGGGAATAGGTACTCCAGAGTCCTGGTCCCCAGGTGGCCTGGCTGCTGTTGACTTTGCTGGTTACCCTGGGAGCAGCTCTAAGGAGTGTGGGAGAGGCCGGTGTTAGGGAGTAGGACCCTGGCATTCAGGCTAGGGTGGGATGGCTGGCCGCCTGTGTGGCAGGGATCCTGCCAAGAAACTGCAAAAGTTAACCCCTCCTGCCCCTGTCCTGGTGGTGGCAGGCAGAGGACCCGCGGGCGGGCCTAGCTGCGGTTTGGGAATGTGGCCCTACTCTCCCCTCCCCCTCTCAGCACATCTGTACTTGGTTTACAGTGAATGAGTCTCCTGTCCTCATGAACCAGGCTCAGGCACCACTCCCTCCCTGGCAGTCTGGGCATTTAGACACAGACCCAGTCTCCACTTGTGCCACTTTCTCTACTGGAGATCAACTTTCAGCTTTTCCCTTCTCTAAGAAGGGCTGAGGGACTTAATCCAGAGACCAAGAACTGAGCTTTGAGAATGCAGCTGGGGTAGCAGATGGGGACAGGCAAACTTAAATGGGAGGCAAAATAGTTGGGAGAGAGTCAGCCCAGACTTCCACTTGTCTCTGCCCTTCCTCTTTGTCTTTTAGTTCATCTGTCTGTCTCAATCTTTGTCTCTCTTGGGCATCTGTACATCCATCCCTCCTGGTAACTATAACTCCTCCCTTCTGGTGGCTTCCTCCTCCTCACCCAACTGATAGCAGCCAGGGGGTGATGCTCAGACTTGTCCTTATGCCAGCCTCTACTCCGTTTGCCACCACCTCTGCCACACACTCTCTGCCACTCGTTCCCAGGACCCAGAGACTGAGATTTTTATATGCACTGTAGCAGGTTGGCAGTCACACTAAACACCCACAGCAAACTGGGAAGCAGGAAGAGGGGCTCAGGTTTTCCCTTTCCCCACCCCCATCTTGCAGTAGATGGAGATTTCTGTCCAGGGACTCTAGAAGGAAGCTTGGGAAGAAGACTTCCCACTCTGTAAACTGGTCGAGGGGGGCCTCTCTTCCCTTCATCCCCTCATTTCTCTTTCCCTGGGGTCATGTCTATTTCCAGGCTTTGCCTTTTGTGGTTACTACACACCCTCCCCTCTGGCAACTTGGAAAGAACGACATCTTTTGGGAGAATCCTACAACCATGCTTTCCTTGCTTCTTGATCACAGAGCAAAGAGCAAAAGGAGAGATTATGAGAAAGAATGCAGGCACCTGTTCCACCTGCCATTGCCCTGTCCTTGATTTTGACCATGATTGTTTCTTTTTGAGGGGGAGAGGTTTGTTTTTGCTCCCCTACCACCAGGACACTGAATAGGTCATTTTGCCCAATCTGGTCCTGTGGGGATCTCTCCTGCATGCTCAGAGGTGGCTGGCAGATGTCTGTGGGGGCTGAGGGGAGCTATGTTACAACCCCCAAGGACATCATTAAGACATAGAAGCACTGCAGGGGCTTGGAGACAGGGCACCCAGGGAGAGTGTGATGAAAACATGTTTTGTACAACACGTGGCCTTACTTTGTTCCTCCTCCCTTCACTGCCTCCTTGTACCCCGTGTGCCTTGTGCCAAGGCTTGTGCCAGCCCTGCCTTAGGTGTTTGACCAACTTCACACTTTGTACCAGGCCATTTCTGCCCACCAGCTTGTTGTCTGTCTTGATGAGAGAGATTATGTGTGGAAAGTCTTTCCCAGCCCCAGTGCTGCCTACCCAGGTTCCCACATAGGATTAGGCCCTGGTCTTTAAACTGGATTTTAGGACTCGCCTATTCAGCATTAAGAATTTCTTTCAGAAGCATACACCATTCACTAATTCAACAAATTTGTATTAAATATCCATTATGTGCCCAGTATTGTGCTAAGCCCTGGGACTATCCTAGGTGTGGTTCTTGCCTTTGCAATCTCCCAGTTGGATGGAAGTTAGGTGTTAAACAACAGTCCACAAAACTGTAACTAGAATAGACAGTATGGCTGGGTGTCTTGCACCTGTAAATCTGGCTACTCAAGAGGCTGAGATTTGAGGATGGCTGTTAGAAGCCAAAGCTGGCAGGTAACTCTGTGAGACTCTTATCTTCAATGAATCAGCATCAGCTGAGGGTAGAGAAGTGGCTCAAATGGTAGAGTACTAGCCTTGAGCACAAAAGCTCAGAGGCAATGCTCAGGCCCTGAGTTCAAGCCACAATACAAGCAAGCAAACACACACACACACACACACACACACACACACACACACACACACAGGCAAAGAAAAACTACAAAGCAGGAATGGTAAATACCTACCTCCTCACAGTCAAAGCAAGACTTTGTGCACCTGGTGATTCTCTCCTGGAATGATTCCATTCATTCCTTCCTCTTCTCCAGAGAAGGGAGCATAGACACACAGAGAGAAAAGGAATTAACAGGCTTAGGCCTGAGATTATCCTGAAAAAAAAAAATCAAGGCCCTAAATTGGCAAATCCTCCAGGGTGAAGATTCCTGCTGCCTGGCTGGAGCCTCAGCAAGGCAGAAAGGCTTCTTGTCTCCACCCTCCTCCCTCCTGCTGATCCAGCCCTGACCTGTCCCACCCCCTGCAGCTAGCTCCACAGTTGCTACAGTATATGAGGTGAGTTCTCCAGGTGTCCGCCAGCCAGTGTGTGGGCGGTGCAGCTGTCTGTTTTGCACAAAACCATGCAAGGTTTAGGGGAGTTCTCTCTCCTTCAACTTCGGGGAAGCCTCCATCCAGTTCCTTCTGTCCAGAGACCAAAGTTCCAAGGGGTTTTTTTTTCCTTTCTTTTCTTTGTTCTTGTCTTCCTTTTTTTTTAAAATTTTTTTTCATGTGGTGCTAGAAAAGGAATTCAGGCCCTTGTGCATGCTAGACAAGCACTCTACCACTGAGATCCTTCCTTCCATAAACAAGGGAACGGAGAAGGGAATGGACCTCCTTTGACAGTGCCTCCACTGGAGCTGGCAGGGTTTATGGGACCAATGGGGTTAAGTTCTAGCCCTGCTTTGACCCACTTTCCTCCCTGTGCCCACATCCCCTGGGGCCAGGGTGTTGGGCGAGGCCAGCCTGGCACCCCCACACCTGGGACTTCCCCTAAATGGAAACTCCCAGGACCCAGGCACCCTGCCTGCCCTGCCAACTCCCACCACCTGCTTGGGTTCCGTTCATCTTCTGTCAGATCTCCCTGTCTGCCAGTCTTTTGCCAAAAACTACATCTCTGTGCCAGCCTAAGAGGCCCAAAGAATATGGGCCCACCCCCAAGGGGCCCCCTTTGATGTCTGGCTGCCTCATCTAATGGATTCTTTTGAAGAAAAGATGTTGGGACACATACTTTGTTCCAAGAGTTTAATGCTAGGCATGTGCATTATGGCATTCAACCTAGTAGGAAGACAATCCA